ACCAGGCTGTAGACCAGAACCAGGCCTCAGGACACCTGCTGCTTAAAGAAATAATCTGTATTAACTATTTCTGTGGTAATTATATGTAATACTTTTGTATTACTTCCTGTCAATGGCCACTGAGCCTGGGTGGGTCAAGTATAGGTAACAGATAGATGGATGGACTTGTTCCCACTTTATCTCACCCACTGAAGTCTTAAAGGAAAAAAAAAAGACTCTCTTACATTATCTCCAGTTATTCTCTTTACTTTGAATTAAAAACAAGAGCAAACAAACAAAATAGATCCATACAGTTGACATATCAAAGAAATGTGATTGTTACCGTCAAACATCGAATTCCAAAACTGACACTAGTTTATAAAACATAAAAACGCCTCAAAATCAGAGTTACATCTGGATCCAGGTTTGTCTGCATAAGTTTGTCGATGGTCTTTACATCACTGCAACAGTAACAGAATTACACAGACAGCAGCTACTTTAGTGACTCCAGATTTGAAAAAAGTCAAAACCAGGAGTGCTACCACAATGTGTAACACAATAGGCAAACAATATGGTCAAACCACAGAGTCCTTTACACACCATGGCTGCACTTACAAAAAATACAAAGACAGTTGATTCTGAAAACTTTGGCATTTTAGGAAAATTTTCTTTATATATATCCTGGCTTTTATTTTTGATACTTTTGTCCAAAATTCCTAAAACTTTATCAGGATTTTTTGCAAAGTGAATGATCACAACATAGTCCAACAGTAGCCTGATAATTCTGACCAAATAAGTACGCAGAGAAAACTTTAATAACTATTATCACAAAATTAAATCCATTTTTGTTTTTAATTTGGCCTGATAAAATAAATGACTGTTATATTCCACCTACCCATCAACTCTGTGTATAGAGAGAGATGGATGATACGTGTTGCAATAATAATAATAAAACAATGAAATACAACAGAATACACAATTATTCCTTCACATGAAATTAAAATGGAACAAAGAGAAAAGTTACTTAGTCAGTGGCTCTAGCCTTACTGCACCTCTGCTTCGTTTCTTGTGCCTAAATCATCAACCAAACCTGCTAAACATAACCTAGTTAGAGACACTGTAGGAGGGACATAATTTTGTAAAATACTACAGAGTCTTTCCAAATTAAAATTACATCTCTCTCTTAACATATCTTGTTAAAACAGGTTTTCACCAAACCAAAAGAAAAGAAAATATTGAAATTATTACCCAACCTTTCTTTTTTAAACCATAATTAACATCTGAGTACCTACAGTTGATTTTGCACTTTGACCTTAGGAAATAAAAAGAAAACATAATTTCACAATGATTGGGATAGAATCCACAAAACAATTTAAATTAAGTTTTTTTTGTAGGCTTAATTAGCCACTTAGCTATTCTCTGCCACGGGGCCCACACTCATCGAGTCAGCCCTTAATGTTGATATTGATTAAAAAACTGACAGTTCCAGAGCTCATACTTCTCTTATTTCATTACTGTTGTTTACAAGCAGCCTCGCTGCTCTGATCCTAAATCTTTTATCGGTTCTCTGTTGGAAAAACAGGTGAGGCAAACAGTAACTAACCCGGCTACATTATCCTTTAGCAGAAAAATCCTTTCCCTCTTTCAAACAGCAGACCTGACAGTCACTCTGTGCAATATGTAGAGCAACAGCTATCACATCTTTAACCTTTGTTTCTTTCTCTGAGCTCCCTTTAACTTTCTTGGTGGATGTGAAGAATTCTACATCAGTATGATGTTGCCAGTTCTTCAGAATGGAATGACTTAGAGAAGAAAATTTAAATGAACCAACCAACAAACAAAACGTATTAGCTTGTAAAATTACAAGCCAATACCGTTTTGTAACTTTCTATTACATTCCATTAGCCAAGCTAATATTTGGAGGAACTATTAATATTAAACTTTAATAAGTTCAGATACATTCAGCTTTTACTCCCACCTCTGCTTCGGGTTGCCTTTGCTTTCCAGCACTTATGTTAACCCTGTTCTGCAGCATCTCCTGTTATTTGATTGGTCTCAACAATTTGTCTACAAGGAAAAAAGTTGTTGCTTATTACTGCTGATAACATCAATGTCTCATACAGGTCCCACAACGCTGAGCATGTTTAGCCTAATAACAAATTTATTGTTTCACTGTGGCTTTGTACCACAGAAAAACATCATCCAACATCATATTTCATTTTATTACAACGTAGTGAATTGTACATCTGTGCAGAGGCTTCTAAAAAAATATCAATATCCTCTGTCTTTATAGAGATTTAGTAATCTTTAAAATTAAATTTCAACCACTGAGTATAATGATGCTGTTTTCATATGAGAAGATATTGATGGTTTTCTAACACTTTAAAAATCACTGGCTGTTTAGTCACAGCAGAGCAGAACCAGAGAAGCTGTCTGATGCAGAAGATCTGCTCCACGAAGGGGTTAAAATAATGCTTTTCATATGAGGCATAGATAGGTGTCCACAAAACACCTGACATGTTAAACTGCAACTGATTCATTACTTGGATGATGACTTCTCAACTCCAAGGACTTAATTTTTGTTAAACAGCTGTTTTTTCAACATCCTCTCAGTGTATAAAACCACTGAAACAGCAATGTGTTAAAAAAGGTGCATTCTTTTTGCTCTGATTATCCATTGAATCTTTGCCATGACGATGCCATCTGTTTCATCTAGTCTAATTTAAATTATTGAGTAGGTGTGTGTTTTAACTGCATAACATATGCAACACCATTTATTTACTTTCCTTTTGTCCTTTCCTTACACTTGGTTAGTGACTTTTGGTGGGATGTTGGGTGCAGTATTAAAAGACAGTGACTCACTTAAAGGTACCCTGCAAAGATTTTGGCTCATGGTAAAGTAATACATAACTATGTAATACAATACTGATGGTTGTGCTATCAGTGGGAGTTCCCATATTCTAGGTTTTTAACCAGTAGGTGAAATGATTTAGCTCTCATAGTGACTGCTGCTGAGGCTCATTGGGACCTGCACTAACTGAAAAGTGGGGTTCTGCTAATACTGTGTCATTCTGGCCTCTTTGAAACAACCTCATAAACAGAGTGGGTTTGGTAAGAACTGCTGAACATAACCGGTGTTTGTTTTAAACACAACTCCACAGGGCACCTTAAACTGATTCCTTACTCCTTACATAGTGATGCTTGGTCAGAAACTTCTTCTGCTCTAATTCTAATAATGGGTGCCCCTTCTTATCTTCATTTTCAGTTGGATTTAAATGGACTAAACACCACAGGATTACTTTTACCTTCAGGCTCATTATTGCCTGATCCATACATTGATGGACTCGGGGTAAACCGTACGAGATGGCACTTTGCAAAAGCAACATTAAAGGGATATCCAGGGTGTCAAAATCTGAATCCATGTGGTCCTGACCAAACATCACTATGTGATGAGTTAGGGGTGAGACAAGGTTGGTGTGTGCATTCATAGTGCAGACAGTGATTTTCACAATTTTAGACCAAGCCCATGCAAGTGTCAGGCACTGAGACAAATTCAAGTCTGAAACGCCGCTCCAAATATTTCCTGGCAATAAATCCATGGTGCAAGCTCACCTTCATGCACTGTTCCAGCTACTTTCCTCCTTTCACATCCTTCTCCTCATATTAGCAAAAACAGTAAAAAAAAAAACCCCACAGATAGTATATAAGCATTATTTTTTTTGGAAATGTCATCATAAAAATGCCAGTGTGCATGGATAGTTTGGCTTGAACACAATATAAACTATGACCTTTACAGTGGATACAACTGCACTTAAATACACTTTTTCCTGCCAATCAGATGTCTTCTACTCTGCTGTACTCATCCTGCAGCATGTCAGCCTCAGTAATCATCCTCTCATTTGCATATAAAATCTATTTAACCTTGACAGTCATATACATTTATTCACAAATCTGCACAAAATACAAATATAGAATCATTTATGGATTCTCTCTAATTAGTGAATGTCTGCCTCAGACATATTCTTCCTGTTGTTGTTTTCAACATAAAATACAGAAGCAGTGGAAGTTTTTTTTTCATCTCCTTTTGACAGCTTCATCTGACCTCTGCAAGTGTCTGGAGTTCTGGTGCATTAGGCTCGTCCTGGCTCTTCCTCCTCCCAACACTATCATCTGATAAGGTGGCAGGAAATCCAGTCTAATCCCCACTGATCCACCCAAAGGTATGATGGAAGGTAGACACCACATGACTGATGCCAGGGAGGTGGCAAAATGAAGGGGCAGCTGAGGTTAGAGCAGCTGAGCATCCATGGAAAATGTAGTTATGTTAACAATGTCTGACTTTTTCACCCTTGTTGTCCAAAGTGTTGTAACAAAATAGAGCTGTTTTGTTGGGATGTGCCCAACTGTGTTTCACATCATCCACACGGACGGTACCGTCTTTTCATCTCTCTGATTTGGCTCTCAGACTGGAAGATAACGTTCAAAGATTGTTTGGTGAAAAAAAATAAATTGATATGTTTTTCAAGGGTAATTTTGTCTTTTGTGGCAGTGTACAAAAGATTGTGAAAGAGCAGCGAGACTGGAGATGGGGATGATGATCCGTGATGCACATGCTTGTTTACAACATTTTTGAGGAGCAATCACAGACCTTGTTCACCTGATCTGTTGATGAAGATGTGTGAATCTGAGGAAACTGTTGTAGAAATGTTGAGCATTTAAAGGCTTCTTCTGCTTTTTCAGTGACCTCTGTATTTCTGAACCCCTGACTTTGAGGCACATTGTCTTTGGCACTTGAGATCTCAGACCCTTTCCTACTGAGTACACTGTAACCACAGAGGGGGGGAAACTGAAATTGCTTGCACTGGATTGCCCTTTAACCAGGATTTTGTTTCAGTTTCTCACACACAGCTCTCGTCTTTGTCTCCGTGGCTTTTGTTCTGCCTGGATTTTTCCGTCTCCTGCCCAGGAGAAGAGAACTCTTTTGCTCCACTGCTACAGTGTGCCACTCCATTTCCTAACTTCCCGATGTCTCCCAAAGGTAGCTGGGTGGAGCTGTAAGCCAGTGGGGGGATGGTGTTCACCAGTATAAGCTGAAGAGGTTTCTTCTCTGGCTGGTACTGGCAGCGAACGTATCGCAGAAACGCGGCGCGGTATGTCTTATTGAATAACGTGTAGACCAGTGGGTTGACTGCAGAGGACAAGTAGCCTACCCAGACGAAAACATTCAGCAGACCTCCCATGACTCCCGGGTCACAAACGTCAGGTTCACACACCACCACCAGCACGTTGGTGATGAAAAACGGGCACCACATAACCACAAAGAGAAAAAACACCACCCCAAGGACCTTTGAAGCCTTCTGCTCGTTGCTGATCGACTGCATGGTGCGGCGCCCAAAGAGAGAGCCAGATATGCTCCCGCGGGCGCCACCCAGCCCGCCGGTGCTCCCTCTGCTTGTGGCGTCACGGCTTATCGATCGCCTGAGGAGTTTCTCGGAGGACAAAGACGTTTGTGGAAAGAAGCTCAAGGTGAAGGTAGTGCTCCATTTGGGCCGTGGGACCAGCTGGTCCAAGCAGAGGGTGGCTTCGTTCTGCAGGGCTTTGATGGTCAGGAAATAGGTGACGACCATGATGGTGAGGGGGATAAAGAAGGCCACGAAGGAGCCGACCAGCACGAAATTGTTATCTGTCAGCAGACAGCTGCCATCTTTGAAGACCTTGGAGTGGTCTCTGAGACCCAGCACAGGAATCGGCATTGAGATCCCTACAGAGAAAGACAACAGCAGAGAGATGAGGAGAACATTACAATTAGATAACAACCTCTGTGATTCATGCAGATATTAGTGTTTGTGTCTGTACCAGAGGAGATTAGGGTCGGCTGGTGAGAGGAAACCTGGCTTTGTGCAGCAGTGGATGGATTTTCACATGAGTTTAAGTTTTATAGTCATAAATCAAAACTATTATCGGAGCATACTGATTTGCAGGCTTTATCTGTGTAAACAAGCAAAACTTTTTTGGCA